AGAGACAAGCAGGGATGGGCTGGGATGGAGCCAAGGTGGAGCCAGGAATCTGGAGTTGGAGCAAGGAAAATGCTGGAAGTCGAGGCTAGGCCAGGGCAGTACGTCGATCTTGCCTTCAGCTCTCCTGACAAGCAGCACCCAAAGCACTGCACTCAATTCCTCGGCCCCTGGGGAGAGAGAAGTAGAGACGCCCATCCCCTCTGCTGGAAGTTTTTAACGACAACTTTGCCACTGATCTGTTGACAGTCTTCCCTGTTTCCTCTCACTTTGTAGGAAGGAGGCAATGAGCTCTCTGATGCAGGAGCATTTGACCAGGAAGGGTCTGAGGCAGGGAGGGGCAGATGAGGGGACAAAACACAAGGAGAAAGGCATGTAGAGCTCAAGATGATGGGTGGGGTGGAGGTGGGGCAGAGAGAGGATCTTGGGTTCATATTCACAATGGGCTTCAAATTTGCTTTTCAAAAATGCTTTAAATTTTTTTAAATGGAGGTACTGGGGATTGAACCCCGGACCTCGTACATGCTAAGCATGCACTCTAGCGCTGAGCTATACTCTCCCCACCTAATTTTGCTTTTTAAAAATTTAGGTATAACTTCCCTTCCATAAAGTTTACTAATTTTAAATGTATAATTCAATCAGTTCCAGTCAATTTACAGAGTTGTACAACCATTACCAGAACCTAATTTTAGAACATCTCTTCAGACTTAATATTGACGTTATTTTAAGTGAATTTCTCCTTAAAGTCCCAGAGATTATGAGACTTCCTCTGCTGGGAGGGAGGGGAGGCGCCTTTCCTGTAACTCTACACCTGAGTCCCATTACCAGCCCACACCATGAATTAGTATTTTTGTAAATTTTGCAGTCGTTTAAAGAATAGTCTTCCCTTTTCTTTCTTTTCTTTCTTTCTTTTCTTTCTTTCTTTTTCTTTCTTTCTTTTCTTTCTTTCTTTCTTTCTTTCTTTCTTTCTTTCTTTCTTTCTTTCTTTCTTTCTTTCTTTCTTTCTTTCTTTCTTTTTCCTTCCTTCCTTCCTTCCTTCATTCCTTCCTTCCTTCCTTCCCTCCTTCCTTCCTTCTTTCTCCTGTGTGTGTTGCATGTCGGAAGCCTTGATTTGTTTTTTTTTTGTATATACTTGTCAAGCCTTGATTTGTTAAATGCTCTAATTTTCATTCATCTTCTTGGGAAATCCTTCCTTTGGTAACATACTTCCTTTGGTAAGAGCCCAGGAACCGGAAGTGGGCTTGACACCCCTGGGTCTCGGAGCAGCACAGGAAACCAGACAGTAAGGAAGGGAACACATCTGCCTCCATCTTTCCTAACAGGCAGCACGTGTAATACTGAACCCGCTGCCTTGGAACAGGGCTGGAGACACAACTGCGTCTGTAGTTAGTGCTCCCCTGTACAAAGCGCTGTGAACCCTTGGCTTGCCCGTGGTAGCCCTTTGAAACACACATTCTAGCAGCTTCTGGAAGTGTCTGCGGGAAGGTTGCTGTGGTGTGCGTCAGATGAGCTGTGGGGTCGGGATGGTTATAGGGGAGTTGGGAGGGAAAGGGGAAGAAGCTTCTATCCTCAGCCAGTCAGAAGCGCACAAGTTCAAGCTCAAGGCCAAATGTGTCCCGTGAAGCCAAGTATTAGAGGTTTTTGAATGGACCGCTTGCTGATTCCTCCTATCCCTACCCTTTGTCAGCCCAGGGGCAGGAGTCAGAGGGGACTGTTTTGCCTTTCTCTGCATCCTTCTACAGAGAAGGAGGCCTGGGGCCACCCTTGGGAAGGAGGAGGACACAGAAGGTGGTGGTGGTGATGGGGGGCGGGGGGAACGAGGACTCCCTGGCAGTTTGGGTTCCTGTGGTCTCAGTTGCTCAACTTCCTCTTCCCCATCAGCAGTTTGGACACCTTCCACTGCCTTCTTGAGGCCCCTGTCTCCCTGCCCTGTGCGGTCACCACCCTTTGAGTCATCGTCAGCTGGACGGAAGTTTGGGGTTTACAATGGACAGATGTGGGTTCGTGCAATTAACTTATCTCATCTTGCTATGTTGCGAAGAGCAGAGATAAACACGTGTACCTGGTGGGAGCTGAGGACATCAGAGCGTCAGTGATGTGCCAGCAAATTCACATCCCCGGTTTTTAAGCCTCCCGTGAAGGGAACAGAGTGAGGAGTAGGATTCCCATTTCACAGAAGGAGAAACTGACTGAACAAGGATGCACAAGCGACGAGTGCAGCTCAGGACCGAGACATGAAGGCTGGACCCTCCCCCTGTGCTGTCCCTCAGTCAGAGGGGTCAGGGGTCCTCTGGAGGCCGGCTTCCCTCACCCACCCTCAGCCCTGCTCCCTGGAGGGAGCTCAGATTATTGCTTGTGACTTAGAAGAGACACTGGAGGCCAGTGCCGGGAGAAGGCACCTGCCAGCTTTGTGCTGGGGAGTCGGGAGCGGGTGTTGGTTGATGAGGCAGTGGATGCTGCCTCTGCTGCCCCTTCCAGGTGTGCAGACCGCTGGCCTCTGCTTGAACCTACGTTTCTGTTGAGACATAACTTAGATGACACGCTCACGTTTTGTGTGCTCGGCTCGATGGATTTCACATGCCTGCGCCATTTTAAGCCCTATCCCTTCCTCTCCCTGGGGGTGGAGATTGGCAAGAGGACGAGAGAGACCTCGATGCCCTGGTCTTCTCTGGATCGATCTCCAGTTCTGGTTTCCCTTCTCTGGAAAGGGCAGTGGGCCTGGGGTGGTGGGGGCCCCGCGTGGTCCTTGCTTTCGTGAAGTCTTACGGTCTTTCCAGGAAAAGCAGGACCTGCAGTGACACCCCGGTATAGATGATCAAACACAGAAATAGGCATCGCGGGGCTTAAGAGGTGCAGGAGAGGGTCTCAGAGAGGCCAGGAGAAGGAGGGGCATCGTCTGAGGAGATGGCTTGAGTGGGGCCATGAAAGAGTGAGCAGAGGGCATGAAGGAAGCTGAGGATGAAGGAATGGCCTCCAGCAGCCATCCACACCCCTCCCGCCTCCCCAGTCCCCATGACTGACACTGAGGAGCCCACCACCGTCTCTCTGGGTGGAGCCAGGAGCAGCCCCAGGGGGACGCTCCCCTGCTGAGCCCCCACGCCGCCCCCCTCCCAGCATGGGTGCCCCCGGGAGCTCTGCAGGCCCCCCGTTGGACCAGATCTGATTCCCGGCTCCTCCCTCCAGGCTGGAGAGAGTCTCTCCAGGTCCAGGCGCCTGTGAGGAGGGGCAGAGCCTGCATGAAGCAGTGAAGGAGGATTAACAAAATCCCCGCACTTAGGCTAATAGATTGCTTATTCTTATTCTTGCCCTTAAAACGGTCAGCTAACCTGACTGACCAGTTGCTACTCACCAGCTCCAGGCCCATTGTTAAAACTAAAGCCATTAATTTTACTGTTTCTGCTTCAGTCTAGTAATCGAAAGTAACAATCAGGCTTGGTTTCTGAGTCATTCTCCAGGGAGAAGATCACAGAACTGTAACCTTACGAAACAGCCTGAATCACCAAGAAGACCACGCCTTGGGCGCTTATAAAGAGACGGGAAGAGCGGCAACCACTAGCCTCTGTAGACTTGGTCGCCTGGAGACAGCTTGACGCCACTCTGAGTCTGATGAGAAGATAATTCTGTTGATTGTTATCCATGCCTTACCATTTGAGCTATGGCCACATAATCACCCTGCCCCATCCCCAAGGTGGGTTCACAGGTTTGAAGGCACCAGCCTGCTGTGAGTCCCCTTTGCCTGGCAAAGTAATAAAGATGCCTCTTTTCCTCCAAGCTCCAAGACCCTGTCTCTGAGTTATTTGGCTCGTCAGGGACGGGGGCCGATCTTTCGGCAACAGCAGCCAAGTCCCCTCGAGGAGCCCTCCGAGGGTCAGGGAAGGCTCTCAGGCCTCTGGCTGGGGCTGTCACCCATCTGCTCGCCCGCAGTTTCCTCTTCCGCCGTCTCCACCACAGCATGCCCAGCCCCAAGCTGGAGAGCACGTTACAGCCGTCACATTGGGTGTGGCCCCGGGCTGTGGGACGCACGGGAACCTGGCTGATCTAGCTTCCTTGGCCCCTGGGGAGTCAGGCCATGCTGGGGTAGCTTCCCTGGAGATGGGCAGGAGGGTGAGGTGTGGGTATCCTGGTGGGGTCCTGCAGAGAGGCAGGCCAGGCCGGATCAGGCTGTGGATGCCCGTCTCACCAGGCTCCTGTGGAAGGGAAACCAGATGCTCCCAGCCATCTGTCTGCCCTTCCCCTGACTTCCTCTCACTTAGACCTAATCTCTTTGCCACGTGGATTCCACCATGAAAGCACCTGGAGTGAGGTAGGTGCTCAGTGGATGTCGGATGCCCCCACCACCCCCATCACCAGCTCACCCAGCTGTCAAGCCCCTCCTCTCGCTGCCAGCCACAGGCACCCACTGCTTTCTGTGTCTCAGTCCAGCCTCCTGGCCTCTTGGGCACACTTGTCCTACAGCTGGTGAGACACTCCCTCCCTGAGGCCCTCTTGGCTTTCCTTTGAGCTCAGGAGGAGGAAGAGGCAGAGCTGATGGGGAGCCGCTGACCTCTGTGGGGAGAGGGCGGCTCTGCGATGTGCTGCCTCAGAGACCGACATCCTGCCGAGAGGCCCCACAGCTCAACCATCCCCACATCTTTTCTGGGGCCCCTACAGTTCTCAGGACTCAGAGCTGCTGCAGCAAGTCTGCCCAGACAGCCCCTACTTTTCCCCACTGGTCTCCGAGCACGTGCATCCCCACTGGGAAGAGGATCCCACACTGGTGAGAGGCTTTGCGGCTGCAGGACCCCCAGCCCAAGACGAGCAGGCTCAGGCCTGCAGCGGCAGGTTTCATCTTCCCCTACAGCATGGCTGATAGGGTTGTTAGTGCGAAAAGTGCCACTTCCTTAATTTTCTGTGTCACGTGGCAATTTTGCATCATTCTGTTTCTTGCTTAGGGTTTGTGGAGAGGCTGGGGCGAGCAGGATGGGTGGGGGAGATCGATTCCCCCGCCCTCTCCCCCCGCAGTTCAAGTGCTTCTCCATCTTCCCGAAGACAAGGTCGTCCCAGGGACTATTTGCACAGCGTACGTCTTCCTATTAAATCTTGTTTTCCCACCAACTATCATTAGAGTAAAGATGTTGTCCCCTGGGGAAAAAGACTGGCTGAGGCTGCATTACCTCACAGGTAACTATTTTTGTAATTATGATGCGATTTATCCCCTCAGATTAGCTATTATTATCGACACTTTACAGGAACTGAGGGTTTTGGTCACAGTCAGGCCAGTGGTACGTGGACGAGTCGCAGCCTCTCCTGCTTCTCAGTCTGGCGCACCCCCCTCCTCAACTTTGACACTCAAGACCGTGGCAATGGGTTTCAGTGGTTAAACTGAAAAATCAGCCTTCTGGAAACTTTACAGTCAGGGCAGGAAGAGAAGGGCGTGCTGGGGGCTCCGGATGGTGGCCCTCGGAGTTAGTATCTGCAGGCTCTCAGGTGATGCATGCATCACAGGTTAGGATGAATTTCCTGGACTCGCGTGGCCCTTCTGGGCGAGCCGGGGGCGCTCGTCCGGAGGAGTACGTGTGTCTGTGTATATTTAGAATCTGAATTCCACATGGATCAGGGAAGGGGGGTCCCTTGCTGAGTCTCACTCTGTGCTCAGCCCTGAGCTGGCACAGTCTGAGGACCTTTGGACCAAGTGGAGGATGTGTTTCCAAGACCGGAAACCACTCAGGGACTCTGGGGTCGTGCCGACGTGGGGGTCCGGGCCTTGATCGCAGCGCGGGGCGGGGGGGCTCCTGGAAAGGCTGCTCCCCAGTGCGGTCACACTGTGGGTGACACCCAGGGCCCTGGCTCCTCCCCTAGTGAGGGCCTTTCCCTCCTCCCTGACCACCCTGGTCACAGGGAAACAGAGGGAGTTACTAGAAGGGAACTTGGCCAAGTGGCTTTGGGGGAGGGGAGGGAGGGGAGGCGCACGGTGGGACTCGGGGAGGGGCTCCTCACTGGCTCTACCTGCAGAACCCGAGACTCGGCCGGGGGTGGGGGTCTCAGGCGCTGCTGCTGGCTCTGCCCACTCTGTGACCTCTGTCTTTGCCCCAGCTCCAGAAACAGAACCAAAACAGAGCTGAACAAAGAAGCCCGAAGCCGGAGGAAAAGCAGAAGTGGGAGTCCCGAGGCACGACCCGCCTTGAGGGGGACTGAAGCCTTGGGGGCAGCTGGGACCTTCATGCTGGAGAGATGGCCTGGAGGGACTGGCTCCTGTGTCTGCCCCCAGCCATGCTGCTTCTCTGGGTCCCAGGTGAGGGACTGCCCGGGGAGGGGGCAGGGGGGCAGGTGGGGGCGTATCAAGTAACTCAGAATGGGGTGTGCTCTGTCCACCACGGAAGATGGACAGACGCAGCGGCCGCATCCTCAGACGGGCAGGAGTGAGGGTTGGTCTCCCCTTCTGCATCCACCTGACCTTGGATGAGCCACAGTGGGGCAAAGAGGTGGGCACAGAGGAGGGGCTTTGCAGGGAGGTTTCAGCTGAATTATCACAAGAAGAAGGAGGGCAAGAGGCAGGTTGCACCAGAGTGGGTGGCAGGGGGGACTGCTGAGCGCACCTGGGACATGTGCTTTGACAAGAGGTGCCCTCCTGGCTCACGGGTTCCAGGAGGAAGAAGCGTGGGGACCAGGCAGGGCAGACCCTGGTCTCAGGGACATGGAGGTGAACGAACAGCCAGGGAGGCTCAAGGGGCCAGTCTCCAAGGAAGGGACATGCAGACTCCCGTGGGGGGAGGGGAGGGTTGGGGAGGGAGAGCACCTGCAGGACCGGGAGGAGGAGACATGCTGGGGAGATTTCTCTCCAGCCCCTCTAGGAGCATTTACAGCATCTGTAGTCATGCTAGGTGTATTCACAGCATCTCTAATTCTTTTGGTTGTTTTGCCTATAAATCGCATCTTTTATTCCATTCTGTTTGCCTACTAGTTGTCTACAGAAAAGCTATGATTTTTGGTGTAATAATTTGGAAACTAGACATCCCCTCACCCCTCATTCTTCTACCGACCTCTCAGGTGTCCTTGCGTGTTCACGGGATCTGCCCGCACGGAGGGTTTGCTGTTTCTCTGCTTTCTTCTCTCATCGATCATGGGCTGGTTTGGCCAGAATGATGCCCAGGACCGAAATGGCAGTGGGCATTCCCGTCTTGTCCCCAGCTAGGCAGGCGTCCAGTGTTTCCATTAAGCACGAAGAGGGCACCGGTTCACATTTTTAAAAACATCATTCGGTGTCGGATGCTTTTTCATTACCTGTCGAGACGATTACAGGCGTAGCTCGTTTTACTGCGCTTTGGTTTATTAAGCTTCATAGATTCCACGTGTTTTACAAATTGAAGGTTTAATTGAAGGTTTGTGGCAGCCCCACGTCGAGCAAGTCTGTCGCTGCCATTTTTCCAACAGCATTTGCTCACTACGTCTCTCTGCCACATTTTGATAATTCTTGCAGTATTTCAAACTCTCCACCAGCAAAAAGGTATAACTCACTGAAGGCTCAGATGATGGTTGTCATTTTTCAGAGATAAAGTAGTTTTTCATCAAATGATGTACATTGTTTTTAACGACATAATGCTGCTGCACACTTACTAGACTGTAGTATGGTGTAGACATAACTTTTATATGAGAAACCAAAGAATTTGTGTGACTCGCCGATACTCCCTGGATTGCAGGGATCTGGAACCGAGCCTGCATTACCTCTGAAGTATGGCTGTTTTTTTTCTCCTTTGAGCTTTGAAAGTGGTGAATTCTGTTAAGAGATTTGGCCAGATTTTAGTCTTGCTATATTACGCTGACTTCATGAGAAGAATTAGGGAGGTTTTTCCTATTTCTTTATTTTCTGCAAATGTTTAAATAAAATTAGGATTATCTGGTCCTTGAAGGTTTTGAGGAACTAACTTTGTGAAACTGTTTGGGTTTTGCTTAAAAAAGAAAAGGAAAAGAACTTCTTCTTTATTTTTTTCATTTCCTCCCAACTTTACTGAGAGAGAATTAACAAATAAAAACTGTGTTTAGGTAAGGTATACAACGTGATGTTTTGACACACATGTACGTTGTGAAATAATTACCACATCGCTTCACATAGTCATCACCAGGAAAGGACTTTGTGTGTGTGTGTGTGTAGCGAAAGAGTTTAAAAGATTAATCTTAAAAAAAGAAAAACTACATCCCCAAGAATGGGAGATGGGCTGATCCGAGGGAGGGAAAGCCAGAAAGGACTCCTTGCTAACATTCATTGCTATTGGCCTACATTTGTAAAAAATCTATTTAAAAAATCTATTTTGGGTCAATATTGGTCATTAATGTTTTTCTAGGAAATCATCAGTTTTGTCCAAGTTTCCAGACTTATTTGTAGAGACTTGCAAATTATCCTGGCTAGTTTCCTTTTTAATTGCATATGTGTGTCTTTTTTTTTTTTTCTTGATTTGGTTAAACGCACGAGAATGTCTATTACACTGTTTGTTTCTCCCAAAAGAAAAATCAGCTTTTCAGTGTATATTCTAGTTCTGCCGTTTTCTGTTTCCTAATTCACTGATTTCTGTGCTGGCTTTCGTTTCTCTTCTCCTGGGTTGGGTCTGTGTGGGCTTGTTCCTCTCCCGACTCCCTGTGTTGGGTGATTCTCTCGCTTATCTGGGACTTAGTGGATGAGACTTTGCGATCCCTAAGTAAAACATTAGGACAATAGAGGAACATCTTGTTAGGAGAGACAGAGAGAGAAGGGGACAGACAGACCCAGAGGGAGAGACCGAGAGAGATAAGGAGAGACAGAGACACAGGGAGAAAGATGCAGGGAGAGAGACAGAGAGATAGAAACAGAGGGAGACAGAGAGATGGAGCAAAGGGAAGTCAGACCCTGGAGACGGATGGTTGGGTGTGTAGGTGGGGGTGGGGGGCACCTAAGACCAGGGAGGGGAGCCAAGAGCCAGGCAAAGAAACATGACAACATACAGTCAAGGAGAGGTGAGGACTAGAGTCGGGATGTGGGGACCAGAAGCAGCATCTTGAATGAAGAAAAGCTGGGACAGACAGTTATCTATTAAGCACTTGGTACATGTCAATTTTAGTGATTTTTATGTTTCTAGAAAAATCACACCTTCGTCCAGATTTACACATTCACCATAGAGAATTTCTGCAGAGGACCAGCTCTGATTCTTTGAATTTTGTCTATCTCTGTGCTTATTTTACCTTTTCATGTCTTAATTCAGCTAGACAGAGGATTATCTATTTTTATCAGATTGAATTTTCTGAGATTCCCACTTTCTTGGTCAAAAACAGCTGAATAGCAGCAACTTCATACGGTTCAACCTAATATTATTTACCAGGCATTTAACGCCCATTATCTCTTTCCGCACCCTCAAATGTCATGTGAGGCTTATCAATCATCACCATTTTATAAATGAGGTATCTGAAGCTCAGAGAGGTTAAGTAACTTGCCCCAGGACACACAGCTGACAAGTCACGAGCCACCGAGCATCTCAGGAAATGTCACACCTGTGACAAGGCTACATAAGGTCTTCTCTGTAGGGCATCTGCACACCCAGGCCGGGAAAGGATGCCTGATGGGCCCCTGGGAGTGGGAGTGGTGGGAACTCGCGGTGATCAGCTTTGGGCTGCTGTGGACTGAGAGCTGCACTGGGTGGGAGAGGTGCTCATGCCGAAATGTTTGTTGACAGCCTATGTGCTGCACACTTGTAGACATTGCAGATTTAAGAAGGAGGCCCCTGTCTTCCTGGAGCTTACATTTGAGTATCTTCAAGTGATTTAAGAACCCAAAAAAGCAAGTAAAATTAAAAGAATTCTTTCCTTTTTTTGTTGTATATATATATATATATTTTATTGAATAGAATTCTAACTCTAGGAACAGAGAGCAAGCCACACCACCCCCTCCACCAATCTAGGGGCCCGATCTGGGGGGCTGGCGAGGACCTGTACACACACAAACTGCGTGTAGGGGCAGGGGACAGGCCCTCTGCCTGGTGGCCAGCATTAACCACACGCCCCACTCAGTCTCCCAGCTCAGTAGCTGAGAACCGCCTGGGAGAATAGCAGATGAAAAACTGAGAAAGAAAACATGAATTTTCTTGAAAATTAAGTCTGCAGGAGCTGGGCAGACTGAAGTAAGCCCCAGGATGCAATGAAGGTTGTCATCAGTAAATTTGTGTGTGTGTGAATGATTTATTTTATCCACAAAATTTGCCGAGCGTGTGCAGTGTTTTTGTGACCTATTTAGCAGCCGTCTCCCTGCCGTGGTGTGTCTTCCCTTGGTGGGAACAGACTGGTGTGTGAGGCTTCTTCAGGTCTCTGAGATGCTCAGGGCTGTGGTGGCCCTCGGGGAGGGAGAGCTGGCTGCTTGGAGGCGAATTCTAACTGTCCTGACAAGTTTCCAGGTGGGGGTTTCCTGGACAGTGAGGGGTGGGAAAGGCAAGGAAAGGAGGTTGGGTCTGGAGGAAGGAGCTGCTGTGATCACAATCTGGGGGGTGCTGGAGGGAAGGGGAGGACACCCCAGGTGTGGTCTGGCTGACATGGGGGTGACTGATGTGAGATGGGGAACTTTGGGGGGTGACCCCCAGGGCGTCTCTGACCCAGGTCCACCTGATGAGGAGCCGGACTCGGCTGTGTTTTCCAGGCTGCTGGTCCCTGAGAGGCCCCCGCAGAGTGACGGGCGTCGTCGGGGGATCGCTGAGCGTGCAGTGTCGATATAAGAAGGAATTCATAGATCATATCAAATACTGGTGCAAATCCCCATATTTTTTACCGTGGAGCATAGTGAAGACCACAAAGTCAGAGAGAGAAGTAAGGAAGGACCGCGTGTCCATCAGGGACCATCCTGCAAACCTCACCTTCACAGTGACCTTGGAGAGCCTTAGAATGGACGATGCGGGAACATACTGTTGTGGGATCGATAAATCATTTTCACGTGACCTCACCTCTGAGGTTGAGGTGTCTGTGTTCCCAGGTGAGCCCTGCACACCCACGCCCCCTGTACCAGCAACAGGGTCACCTGAAGAGCCAAGACAGAAATCAGATCAGAGGCTTGGAGCAAACTCTGTGTGTGAGAGAGAAAGAGAGAGAGTCAGGGAGCTGGCATCGCTCCTCAATCCGGAGCGATGGGCGGGGCGGGTACTAGCCAGGGGAAGGGGAGGCTGGGAGAGCAGCGTGCAAAGGAGAGAGAGGAGGGCGTTCTGCGGGCAGACCTGCACAGGGGAAGGTGCGGGGGTGCTGGGTAGTGAAGGTGCCCAGTACACAGCGAGCGCTGACAGGTGACCGTCCGATCTGCAGTTGAGACAGATGTCTCTGACTGGCAGCTTGTGGCTATGGCTGGAGTCTGGGGGTGGAGGTGACTTTGGGGCTCTCAGGGGGACCCTAGCTTCATCAACAGGATGGAATCAGGACTGTTGGGGGCGGTGCCTGTCCCCTTTGGAAGTGCTCACTTGGCCCCTGGGAGGGGTCCTGGGGCCCCTTTCCAAGTAAGCATCTTGTATGAAATCAACCAAAAAAGGTGTTGGTGAGTGATGGGAGAGTCAGAGAGAGACCTCTGGGTCTGATCTGTGTTTCTGCAACAGCATCAACACCAGCACCAATGTCAACCCCACCTACCACAACCAAGACCTCAACAACCACAACCAGGATGTCAGCTCTGTCATCCACCGCCCCGGCCACAGTGAGTGCCACTTACATTGCCAGCAGCCAGGAGGAATCCCAGCCCGTCCTGGACCAGAGGTAAGGTGCCTTAGTCCCCGTGTCCCAGAGGTGAGCCTCCTCCTCTGGCCAGGTGGTCCATCTGGGGTCGGCAGCCTGGTCCCTGTTGGCTGGGGGCCTCTGGTTCTCTTTGTACCCAGGCTGGAAGCAGGTCTGATCCCCTGACTGGGGTTGTTGGGGCCACGCTAGGCCTGCCCGGGGCTCCAAGAGAGGGCTCAGGCTGGGCACAGGCTGGGGAAGGGGGATGGAAGGAGAGTGGCCTACTAGGCACGGGCTAAACGCCCCACGTGATGTCCCCATTTGTTCCTCACACCCTGTACCATTATTACCCTCATTTTATAGGCAAGTGAACGGAGAGGGTAAGGGCCATGTAGCTACCAGAGGCAGGCTGGGCTCCCAGCCCAAGTTTGTGTGATTCCAAAGTCGTGGGCTCTCTCGTCTAAACTCGTGATTCTTGACCCTTTTTTGGGGTCACAAAACCCCAGGAGAATCTGGCAACATTTATAGATTCTCTCCCCAGAAAAATGCATGCTATCATAAACCACCTCTGGGGTTCACAGACTCCCTATTCCGACAACACCTGGTGTCCTGCAAGTCGATTCTCGCACTGACTCCCCACAGTTAGCACAGAACCCTCGGTCCCCTGAGACCCAGAAGACTCAGTCCCGTCAGACAGCCTGGCTGCAGACGCCAGCGCCCTCTGGGGATTCCCAGGCCCTTACGTTTCTGACAAACTGGCTACAATGTTGGGAGTTCCCATGACCCCCCCCCCTTGGGTTGATCATTGTTACAATAACTCAGAATGCAGAGACGTGCTATACTTAAAATTATAGGTTTCTCACAGAGGACAAAGGTCAGGACCAGCCAAATGAAGAGACGCGCAGGTCAGGGTCTGGGAGGGTCTGAATGCAGCGCTCCTGTGCCCGTTCCCAGTGGAGTCGGGGGGGCATCACGCTCCTGGGACACTGATGTGCTCACCAACCAGGAGGCTCCTCCCAGCCTTGGCGTCTGTAGTTTCGGCTGAGGTTCATTACACAAGCCCGATTGACTGCATCACCGCCCACGTGAATGACTTCAAACTCCAGCCCCCTCTACTTCCCTGAAGGTCAGGCTAGCTCAGAGCCCCAGATCTTCAATCACATGGTCGGTCCTTCCGGTGGCCAGCTCCCATCCTGAGTCACGCCATCTCTTAGCAAAAACTCAGGCAAATCCAAGGGGCTTATGAATAGCAAAGACACTCCTGTTACTAGGAAAATTCCCAGGATTTACAGCCTCCCTTCCAGGAGCCAGGGGCAAAGGCCAGTTGGATTCTTTTTTATATGTAGTTCCCTGTGCCAGACAGTAGGTCCTTGTTGTCTATCTCTTTTATGTATAGTAGTGGGGAAGGTTCTTAGGTCTACTGTGTGTGTATGCGGGGGGATTTAGGTTGGTGGGGGTGTGTCAGAGGGAGACTTGATACCGTCTACATTTTTTCCCACGTGACCTAGTCTATCTGTGGAAGCAAAGAGGGGAAGGCATGCTTGGCCGCCCCACCCACCCCGCCCTTTTCCCCTCCAGGCTCCAAGTGCTGCTGCCCTCGTTAGCAGTTCTGCTGCTCCTGTTGGGGGGCATCTCATTGCTGGCCTGGAGAATGGTTCAGAGACAGAGCAAAGGTGAGTTACTCCTATACCCCACTCCCCACCCTGGAGGGCCAGGCTCTGCCCACACCCTCTTATCTTCGAGGCTCTGTGTCCTGGTTCCCCGGAGTGGTCATTGGATGCATCCTCTGAGACCACACATCCTGGGTGACCCTAGAGGCGGACCCCAGAGGAAGTGTCCCTAGGGTGGCAGATCCCAGCTATGGGAGGGGGCTTCTTGGAAAGAAGCTTTTCCCACGGTGGGCCTAGGGTGGGTGCTCAGGAAGCAATGTCCTTCTTCTGTCTAAACCCTTCTGTGACCTCCCACACACTCCGAAGTCCAGGCCCCCATAGGACAGTCAAGGCCCTCTGCAGTCTGGCTCTGCCTACCCCTCTGGCCATCCGTTCGCTCTGGAAGGCAGCCGTTCCCAGCTTTTCATCACTTGGCAAGAGCCACGACCTCAGTCTCCCCTTCTGAGTTTGCTCTGGGCAGCTGGGTTGCCTGCCCCGCCCTCTTTCCCCAGCTCACTCCTGGTCGGCCCTAAGCGATGCTCTCGGACTTCCTTTCCTCGGGGACCTTCTCCTGGCCCCCAAAGAGTAGCGTGGGGGCCCCTCCTGGGTGTCCTCTGGACCGCCACCATCATAGCCCTTTTCACAGCAGATTGTCTTCCTTGCCTGCCTCCGCACCAGCCCGTGCAACTTCTTAAGGTCAGGGACCCTGACTCCAGATGGCACACAATCAGTATTTGTTGAATGAATGTGGCATGTAATAGCTCCAGGGAGCTCCAGGCAGCCTGCAGTCCAGCCGCTCTCCTCTGAGCTCAGGTTAAAGAGAGGAACCTGGAGGATGCACCTAGCCACTTATCTGGTGCTCAGTGAGTAGACGCTCAATCAGCACTTGAGTGAACTAACTGAATAAGAGGAACCGAGGGAGGAGTGGAGTTGTGAGCTTGCTGTTGGCTGGAGGCCCAAGGCCCACCTACAGGAGGGCAGCCATCTGCCTGGGGTGGGCTGTGAGCTGGAAGTCTCCTTCCTGTTCTAAGGTTCCTTTTTTTCCCCCCAAAGATGCTATTTATTTTATTTTATTTTTAAATTTTTTTGCAGGGGAAGGTAATTAGGTTTATTCATTTTAGGGGCGGGGGTAATTAGGTTCATTTATTTATTTATTTGTTTGTCAGTGGAGATGCTGCAGATTGAACCCAGGACCTTGTGTATGCTAAGCACATGCTCTACCCCTGAGCTATACCCTCCCCACTATTTTTAATTTTTTTCAACAGTGATACTGGGGATTGAACCCAGGACCTCGTGCATGCTTAGCATGCACTCTGCCACTGAGCTACCCCCGACCCCCCCACCC